ACCATGGAAGAAGAATTAAACTTCCTGAGGGAAATCTTCATACAAAATGGCTACCCACCAAGATTTGTAGACAAAAACATCAAACAGAAAAACCGAAAGCAAGAGACACAATCCGTGCCAAAAAAGATACTTTATATGAACCTGGACTTCAAAGGAGACCTACTTAGCGACGTCCTCAGAAGGAGAATTTCCACCTCTTTAGGAAGAACTTTCCCTGCGGCAACACTAAGAATAGTGTTCTCCAGTCGCCCGCTGATCTGCAGAAACCCAAAGGACAAGATTCCGCACATGACCACTTCTATGTGTATATACCAGTTCACCTGTTGCTGTGGAGCCAGGTACATCGGTCGTTCAACGCGCATCCTGTCAAAAAGGGTCAAAGAACACTACCCAGCGTGGCTACAGAAAGGAAATAATGGCCATATAAGGAGTGCAATAATCGAACATCTAGTCAACACTGGTCATTCCATCTCAACGAGCGCCTCCTTCAAAGTGATCTACAAAGTGAAGAACAACCTCCCAAAGACAGTACGATTTCGTCTTCTTTGCATCGCAGAAGCCCTAGCCATCCAGTTGGTGGAACCAGAACTATGTATACAAAAGAAAATTATCCAACCACTTCTACTCGCATGGTAACAACTCCGTTGATTTTACCCAACTCTTCTTTGTTTGTTTGATTTGACCTTACTTCTGTTTGTATGCTTATTTTTCTAACTTACAACCCTTGTGTAATTCTGTATATTATTTTGTTTCCATGCTCACCCTTTGAGTACAACTCATTCATCAAACTATTCATGCCATTACGTAACTCTTATTTAACAATCATTTATGACAACTCATCACTTTTGTTGCTAACCTCTTATCAACATCCAATTCATTTGAACTTACTAACCGTATTTCATTTGACAAATTTAATGTATACGCACACACACACAAAATAACCATATATATTTGCGATTGTACAGCTTTGAAAATGAATTCGCCGAAAAGAGACTCTTTGCTGATCTGCTTGTCTTTTGTCTGTAAATCGAACATTTAGCGAGAAACAGCCGTTCCATCTGCACAAACGCCTCCTTCAAAGTAATCTACGAAGTGAAGAACAACCTATGGAGAGTAATATTCTGTCTTCTCCTATGCATTGCTGAAACCTTTATGATTTATTTAGGAAAATCGGATATGTGCGTACAAAAGGAAGCTATTCAATCATATCTAACGTCATCGCTACAATTGTGTTGATTTCTAATCACTTGATTTTAATTTGTTTGATTTTCTATTTCTGCCTAACTCCCGTATGTCTTTGGGACTCTTAAGTAACTCGGCGTTTTCCTTCGTTTATATGTGAATCCTGACTAAATAATTCATCTTACTATGTTACTCTGATACACATATTCAACTCTTCATATGCACTGACAAATATCGACAACTATTTTTCCGACAACTCATCACTTTCGGTGCTACCGTTCAATGAGAAAAATCTACATAAATGCGATTTTGCAGCTAACCCGGAGAGTGATTTTACCGAAAAGAGACTCTTTGCTTAACTACGTGTTTTGTCTTCAAATTGTTATTTATCGAGTTAGGTTATTTGCTGACAGTATCAGACACAAAACCATCAAATTAATCACCAGGGTTAAATTACAGCCTTCACAAGGACCTATACGACATTCATCATGTGCAGTGAAGAGCTCTAAGATGTTTAATACATCCCAGGAGGAAGAATCGTTTAGTGGAATTCAATTTCCATTGAGATAGTTTATTAATTCTTTGGATTTTGCAATCGCTTTAACCACGCAACATTCAAATAAACGCGGCTGGGAAAAATTTCTAATTTCCCTGCTTGTGCTTATATTATATGCAACTAAAATGAAGTAAGATAAGATTCTCCTTTGGAAACAGAAATGGACGTCACATACTTTCCTACGAGGTCAAGAGACGATGAAAACTGCGATTCAGCAGTGAAAGAAGTGAATGAATGTAACAGTGAGTATTTTGGAAAAAGGTCATGGCACAAACATATTGCAATAGAACTTCACAATATACATGATAATACATGATTATACGAATACAAGGACTCACTATAGCATTCTGCATCGAAGTTCTCCAATTCGTTGTGAAAATTCTTCACTTGTCTCAGGGTTTTTAGACCATAATCTTTCAGCTACAGCAGCACCTCTGGGCCTGCATATGTATGTCACAGAGATGAGAGAAGATACTTCATTGTAGTAAATAAAACAAGAAAAATTACGTCACACTAAACGTTTTTGTCAGGCTATTCAAAAATCACTCTGTCATAAACTGGATGTCTCCCTGCATCATTTCTTGCATGAGTCTCGCCTATGTAGCATATACGAAGGCGTATCACTCAGTATCTGGCCAGCTGTGCCATTCGTTGATGAAAAGGTGTAAGGCTAAGAAAGGCCAGCGTCAACCTACTCTGAAAAATCAGTAATGGTCATTTGATATCGAAATCAGTAGGACCGTCAACTCCATTCTTAGCGGTTAACATTCAAAAATAGTGACTGTTAAAATATGCGATACGTTGAAAACAGTCATAGGAGTACTGTAAATCACAATTCATCTTTGTGATATTCGTTTGATGATTGGCTAACAATGCAGTCCCATTGATTTGTCCATCCTGTTTCATCAGAACCTGTAGGGATGTTATCGAATGCTCATATTCTAACAGAGATTCTGCGTTGAGTTACTTTGTCATTTTCTGCTGCAAGTGACATTTTCACTGAGTCGTCTTGTCGACTCCGAAAATCGTTATATACACTTGGTTCATTTCCACCTAACCCAGCTAAAAATATTTTCCTAAATGCTCGAAAAATGCTAACGCGAAGAGTTCTATGAATGATTCACAAAATGTACTTACCATGCCAGAGTGATCATAATGGTCTCATCCACGCGTCTGCCCCATATTGTAGCTTCACCACCAATGACTAATGATACCTGCTCGTCTGAGCCTGTAAAAGACATGATAATTATTATTATCATCACAGGAAGCTGATAGACTGAGTGATGATTAGTGTAATTTGCAAATTCAGATATGCCGAGTTCACTGGTGAAGGAAACATTTGCAATTCGTGTGGCTTTATATGTTAAGGTTTGATGTGTGGTTGTCTTCTGAATGAGAGGAATTGGCAGTACCGATAAAGTTAGACACTGATTTTTGATTTAGAAATGGTCAGTTAAATACCTAATTAAGGGTGCGTTGTATTTGAAATGTCGGAATGGCTAGACAGAAATTCATCACTCTGAAATCTGTTTAGAAGTCCGATGTACACAGCATAAGGAACAAACTTCTGATTTTCAAAAAAAACTGTCAAGTCAGTCACTTCCTGTATATGGATCAGAAACATGCGATGCGCAACGAGAAACTCTGAGAGCAAACCAACCAAGAATCTGTTGCGCAACAAATATTTAAGAGAAAACAACATTGATACACCACACACTGACGAGACCGTTGGGTGAAATTTTATTCCTGGCCACCGCAGTTTCATCTGTATGAACAAGGAAATACTCTCCTCCATTACATATTCATTTGTATGGAAAATACTTATAATAATCAAACGCCTCAACCTTTATCTTTGCTACAACTACAATATTTACCACTTTATCTCAATTATAAATATAACTTTCTGTCAACCCATCGTCTAAACAGTATGTGGAAACGAGATCGAGATGAAATTTTCACATTCGTGTACAAAATTCATGTTGGGGATGCAATAACTGCAGGTTTTGTAGTCCAACGAATGATTTGCGTTCAAGACCATTGGTACGAACTCACTTCATGATGTTCGCCCTGTTCTCATCGCTACTGTTAGTCGTCACCTTCGAAATCAAATAGATGCTGTAGCATAAGCAGAAGATCACAAGGTTAAAACTGTGATGGTTTTAAATTTTCACAGTAATAGTCTAACTGAGTAACCGATAAATTCTTCTTCCGCATGAAATGTCCTGTTAGTTGATGTGATCAGACTGTGTCAGATTAAATAAGCAGCAAAACCGATCTGAGACAGGATACTGTTGATAATGCCATCGAATAATCTGGAAGACCAGCTTCATACAACCAATATATTTGCTCATTTGTTAACTTAGCCCTCCGAGGTACGTGGTATTGATAAATGATGTATAAATGAATAATGCATGCGAATTGTTGGTGCGGAGTGTCTCATCCTTCCGTCTTCATTTACGTGGGTTTTGACAAACAGAAGTAATGGACGAACCAATACTGGTGTCGAAATCACTAATCATCAATCCTACTATTGACGCCAACATAAAATAATTCATCAATTGCTCTTCTTTCACAACAAGTTTCGGTTGAAATTATGCAAGCTGAACTGCTTAGTCGCGAGCGACAGAGAGGCATGCAGTAACAAAGTGCCAATTATTCAGGATTATTTGGATTCTGATGCCATGAAATTCAGACCATCTATCTTTTCTTCTTACCCAATTTCGAGCACTCCTTCTCAGGTACACATTTTTTGTTGAATGCGAGAAGGAAATCTGAGTTCACATTTGCGACATATTCGTCATCGAGGTGCATGCATCCTTCATCAGATCTAGATTCATTACTGAAAGATTGCTTTTGAGGATGTGCTTGTTCAGTGTTTAGGAATCTGCAGTTAAACCACCCAGCTCACATAATACAACAACACTAAAAGCATCCAAATGATCAAAATATTCTCTTCTTTATTCTTGAATTCTTAAACGTCAGAATCCTGAGTTGTATGACGTTGGCGGCCTGTTTGAATTTTTGGGCCTACCATCATAACATCTACATATTGCATCCAACCTACCATTTACTCCATTTATTTATCACCCAAAAATGAATTCTAAAAGGATCATTTACTCTCGTAACTTTATCATTCATTTCCGACCCAATGACTTTCATATTACCAAGAAATCAAGAAGGAAGCATCGTAGTGGCTGGCAGAGAGCTCTTAAACGTACACCAATACTCTTAACTACGGTCCCTATCATAATGAACACTAACTGCCGCTCTCTGCCAAACAAAATAATGTGCCTACAATCCTTGATGTCCACTGACACTTATCACAATACTGCGATAATCACATTACAAGAAACATGGTTACACGAACTGTACGATGTCAATCTCATCTCTCTAAAGGACTTCATCCTATTTAGACAAGACCGAAAATGTGGTAATAAGAAAAATGGGGGTGGAGTAGCAACCTTCATTAACTCCAAATGGTCTATTTCTAATAATGTTTGCTTCTCATTCTCAAATGACTTCATAGACTGTATCACCGTCAAATGTCGTCCAAAACATCTCCCCAAATATAAACACATCTTTATCACAAACATGTACATTTCTCCAAGTTGCTCACTATCTAATCTTTCAAATTTTGCTGATGAATTCACCATGTTTGCTGCTGCCAACTTCGATAACTCTCTATCTGTTATTACTGGGGACTTCAACTCGTCAGATTGCTCCTTCCTTGCAGCACTTGGTCACTCTAACATTGTCAAATTTCCCACTCGACTAGACAAAACACTTGATTTCGTTTTTACAAATGACGAAGGAATCTACGAAGCACGTAAACGTGCACCGATCCTCAACTCTGATCACTCTATTGTTCGTGTTCTACATAAATATACAGCAAAACACATATTAAAGTCTTCTCGCATCTCTCTATGAAAGAACAACAAAGATGCTACTCATCCGAAAACTTACTCAATCTAAGGTGCATGTTACAAAATACTAACTGGGATTTATTCCATGAAAGTTCATTAGATGACACAATTGTCAATATAACGGATTATCTTAAGTTCTGCCTTGATATATGCTGTCCCAAACAAACTCTATTCAAACGCCTCGACCGCTTCTCATCTCCTTATCTCAAACAACTTCGCAGGAAAAAAGAAACTTTATACAAATCCAAAGACAAATTAGGACTCAAGAAGATTAATGCTCAGATCAAATCTGAAATCAAAAATCTTAATGCTATCTATAATGATAACCTCGCCTAGATTACTAGGTCACTAGTATTCTAGCCGGTCCCAAGCCCGGATAAAGAGGGAGGGTTGGGGCGTGGTGCTAGCAACTCCACCCCCAAAACTTAACCAAATTGCTACTAAAACTTCAACGCACAAATATATTCAAAATTCTAAAATTACAAATAGTGACCTTATTTTTCGCTGGAATCGGGGAAGTGAAATGACGCGGGCTGGTGAAAGCCTTCGGGAAGCCAGTCAGCCGATGTGCCTTCTTTCGATGAAAGCGAAAATAAGGATGGGGACGTGGAATGTTCGTACAATGTACGAAGCTGGGAAGGCTGCTCAGGTAGCCGCAGAAATGAGGAGATATAGAATAGAAGTGTTGGGAATCTGCGAGAGCAGATGGAACGGATGTGGAAGGAGCCAACTATCAACTGGAGAGACAATAATCTACTCCGGTCACCCAGAGGACGATCACGAGCACACCGAGGGAGTAGCCATCATGATGTCACCAACAGCGGCTAAAGCTCTCATGCAGTGGGAACCAATCTCCTCCAGGATAATGACAGCCAGGTTCAACTCAAAAGGAAAAAAGGTTACAATCATTCAGTGCTACGCGCCTACAAACGCCTCAGAACATGAGAAGAAGGAGGATTTCTACAGTCAACTACAAACAGTAATGGACAACGTCCCAAAGAGCGATATCAAAATCCTGATGGGCGACATGAATGCGAAACTGGGAGGAGACAATACAGGAAGAGAACTCACCATGGGTCGTGAGGCCCTCGGTGAAATGAACGAAAATGGTGAACTCTTCTCAGACTTCTGCGCCTTCAATGATTTGGTGATTGGTGGCAGTGTGTTCAAACACAGGGATAAACACAAGGCAACATGGATTTCACCAGATGGACACACCAAAAACCAGATAGACTTCATTTCAATCTCAAGGAAGTGGAGACGGAGCCTACTGGACACAAGATCGAGGAGAGGAGCAGATGTGGGTTCAGACCACTATCTGGTACAAGGGACATTCAAGGTGAAGCTGAAAGCCTCGAGGATAGCTGGGGATAGGCCACAATGCAAGTTCAACACTCACAAACTGAAGGACACAATCACACAGGACTTTTTCACTGCAACTGTCAGAGCAAAGCAGGAAACACTACGTGGCACCACTGAGGAATCATCCGTGGAAGACCATTGGAACTCTCTGAAGGTAATTTTCAACGAAACGTGCTCAACGGTTTTAGGAAGAAAGAAGAAACAAGACAAGGAATGGCTCTCAACAGACACTTGGAAACTAATAGAGGAGAGGAGAAAAGTGAAAGAGAAAATGATTCAATGCAAAGATGGACAAGAGAAAGAGACGCTGAACTCAACTTACACAGCACTGGACAAAGAAGTGAAGAAGAGTGCCAGGAAGGAAAAAAGACAATTCTACGACAATCTGGCCACTGAAGCTGAGAAGGCAGCAGGCAAAAGGGACCTGAGGACACTATATCAGATAACCAAGTCTCTATCCGGGAAGAGATCAACACAAGTGAAACCTATAAAAGACAGCCAAGGGAACCCAATTACCAAAGAAGAAAGACAGATTAAACAATGGGCGGACCACTTCAAAGGACTCTTGAACCGACCACCACCTACAACTCGTCCAGTAATACCAACAACAGCACGTACACAACTGCAAGTTGACACCAATCCTCCAACGAAAACTGAAGTCATGAATGCAATCAAGCTTCTGAAAGCTGGAAAAGCAGCTGGACCAGATGGAATACCCCCGGAAGCACTGAAAGCGGACCCAGAAACGACGGCAGATATGCTGACTCCATTATTGCAAAAGATCTGGAAAGAGGGAAAGGTGCCTGCTGACTGGAGGAAAGGTTACCTGGTGAAACTACCAAAGAAGGGCGACCTGGGACTCTGCAAGAACTGGCGAGGAATCATGCTCCTGTCGACGCCAAGTAAAATCCTGAGTCGCATCATCCTGGAGAGAATCAAGGACGCACTGGATACAGAACTCCGACCAGAACAAGCTGAATTCAGGAAAGGCAAATCATGTTCTGACCAAATTGCAACTCTACGCATTATCATCGAACAAAGCATGGAATAGCAATCAAATCACTACCTCAACTTTACAGACTTTGAGAATGTCTTCGACAGCGTTGACCGCGAAGTAATTTGGAAACTACTCGAGTACTACGGCGTACCGCAAATATTCATCAACCTTATTCAACAACTGTACGACAACGGCACATGTCAAGTGATCCACAACGGAAAACTCAGCGAGGCGTTTGGAGTAAACACAGGAGTCAGACAAGGGTGCTTATTATCACCAATGATATTCCTAATTGTGGTGCACTGGACTGGATTATGCGTCAGACAGCGGGAAACGAGCAGACAGGGATATCCTGGACCGACGTGAAGAATCTAGAAGACCTGGATTTCGCGCGTGGATGATTTATGTTTGATGTCACACAAAATCGAAGACTTACAAGTGAAAACCGACAAACTGGTCGAAGAAGCAGCAAAGACAGGACTCCAGGTGAACATAGACAAGACGGAGGTTATGAAAATAACCAACCAACAACAACAACAGCAGCAGCAACATCCAGCGCCAATCACCATCAACGGGAGGGATTTGAAAGAGGTTACTTCTTTCACTTATCTGGCGAGCATTGTCTCAACCACAGGAGGAACGGACGAGGATGTCAAATCGAGAATCGGGAAGGCGAGAAACACATTCATCAACCTGAAACCAATCTGGAAATCTTCGTCACTCAGCATCAACAACAAAATTCGCATTTTCAATACAAACGTCAAGTAAATTTTGCTTTACGGATCAGAAACTTGGCGGGTCACCAAGAATATTTTCAACAGGTTGCAGACCTTTATCAACAACTGTCTTCGCTCCATACTGAAGATTAGATGGCCAGAAAGAATCACCAACAAGAAGCTATGGGAACAAACGAAACAAGAACCAATCGCCCAACAAATATGCAGGAGGAAGTGGAGATGGATTGGACACTCGCTGAGAAGGCCGTTGAGTGACATCGCGCGTCAAGCCCTCGAGTGGAACCCGAAAGGGAAGCGACGAGTGGGACGTCCAAGGGTGACATGGAGGAGATCGTGTGAGGAGGAGATGAAACAGTATGGAATAACATGGACGCAAGTGAAAAGAACAGCAGAAGACAGAAGCAAGTGGAGACGTGCAGTTGAAGCCCTATGTTCCACTAGGAACCCAAGGGAACAATAATAATAATATATCTATAATGATACACTTTTACCATGTAAATCTCCAATCAGCATGTGGAAACTTTTTAATTAAATTGCTGGTAATAGTAAGCGTTGTAATGCTTTTCCCTCGTATGATGTTAATGCTCTTAATCAGTCTTTCATACGCTGTCCTTCTACTTTAATTACTTCTAATGTTACCTATCATGTAGCAGAAAACTTTCGTGACTTCAATGCTGTCGATATTCTAAAATGTGGTTAAAACGCTCAAGCCCTCACGCAGTCTTGATCCTGATGGTATACCTGCCTATGTTCTAAAACAATGTGCAGATGTGTTGTGTTCTCCACTAACCAACATCCTAAATGCTTCTTTCTCCAAAAATATCGTACCTGGTGCATTGAAAGACATCAGAATTGTCCCTGTCCCTAAACCTGGAAACGGTAAGAACGTAAAGTTCAGACCCATTGCCATCACTTCCCCGTTTCTAGAGCTTATGGAAAAACTAATACTTCTTAAACTTGAACCCTCCCTTAAAAACTTCGAAGACCCAAAACAATTTGCCTATAGACAGGGTAGGAGTACATTAGACGCTGCAGCTGTCTTACACAACAACATCATCTCATTATTAGATAAAGGTGCCAAATACGTCCGCTGCACCTTCCTTGACTTCACTTCTGCTTTCGACTGTGTACCTAGATTTCTCTTGCTAAATAAGCTCTCTTTGACAAAAACTGAGTCCTGGGTCACTAACTGGTTGCATTCCTACTTCTCTAACAGAATGCAGTACACCGTATACAAAGGTAAATCATCCTCTGCTGTACTCACTGAAGCCGGAGTCCCCCAAGGCGCTGTACTCTCCCCACTTCTCTTTTCTTTCTTTCTACATGACTTACCATCCTCAAGTGACATTAATTTTGTCAAATATGCTGTTGATCTGTCTGTATCTTTGCCTATCAAATGTCAAAGCGACTGCTCTAAACTTAATGGCTTTCTGTCAGAAATCAGCCAGTGGTCCAAGGAAAATGGTCTTACCCTAAACCCCTCCAAATGCCAAACAATCAATTTCACCTTTAGGCATAAATCCGACCTAAACAAACTGGTTGGCTCTCACGAGGTATGCAACATAGACGGCACTGAAATAGAAACTAAATCGGAAATTAAATACCTAGGCGTCATTCTATCTGCTGATCTCTCCTGGTCGTCTCATATCTTAGCAATTTCTAAGAAATTTTCCGTCTTACTTTCTGCATTAAGAAGTTAAAACACTCTGGTATAACCCAACCCTTACTCCTACAATTCGTTAATTCTCACATCCTGCCTATTATTCTCTATTGTTCCCCCTTAGTTTTCCCGGGCTCCTGAAGGAAGACTATAACATTTTACGCAGCATGTTAAATGTTGTTAGCAGGGTAAGCAACGTGCCACTTAACAAGCTTGCTAATACTCTGGTTGACAGGCACATGGACTCATGTGAAAAATGGGCGAAATCCATTTTATCTAACTCACACCACCCTCTTCACTCACAACTCTCCCCTTGCATCTCATCAGGTAAAACCAGAAGCCTATATAGAAAACTATATTCTCGCACCAGCAAGTCCAAAAACTCAACCATACCCTACTTGGCTCGTGTTCTGTGTGATAAAGAAAGCATTAGGCGTGACACCTATAATTCATTAAATAGTCAGTAGTACAACTGGATTTCGTCTTTCCAACCCACATCATCAATAGGTACAACATTTTCTTTCTTTCTTTTCC